AAGAAAGAGAGTAAAGGAGAGTTAGGTGATCTCTTGAACAAATCACCATTAGGGCGCCTAGATAGGTCCATCAAGAGCAGGGAGGAACAAGGGAAAACAGAGGGTTTTCCCCGTGGACCGACCCGTGACGAGATCCTATTCCCGGGCCCATAACATATTAGCTCCTGTCATTACTCAGTCTTGGTGAATGGGATGGTCAAAGATTTTTTTTTTCCAGCTTGTAGAGGCCTTAGACAAGGTGACCCACTCTCCCCATTTCTTTTCACCTTAGTTGCATATGTCTTTAGTAGATTAATCACTAAGGCAGATAGGGAAGAGGAAGTGAGTGGCTGGAGGATAGGAAGGAACAATATCCAGGTAACCCACCTACAGTTTGCTGATGATAGCATAATCATACGTTCTCCTTTGATGATTTTTGGAGAAACTGGATAGCGGTGGCTAACAGCCATACAAGGAAGGACAGGGAATCATGGATGCCTCCGCTTGAAGGATGGGCAAGGCTGAACTTTGATGGAAGCAGCCAAGAAAACCCAGGCCCATCGGGGATAGGAGGGGTGCTGACAGATAAGGAGAGCAAAATATTAGCACTATTTTCAGGCCCCATGGGAATAGGAAACTCTAATAGAGCTGAGATGTTAGCGACGATAGAAGGTATTCAGATTGCAAAACAATTAGAAGTTCAGCACTTGGTCATTGAAGGGGACTCTAAGATTGTTGTGGGATGGCTGATGGACCCAGCTTCAGCTATGTGGCAACATAGAGACCTGTTAAGGAAAGTCAACTGGCTCACAAGACATGACTATTTTTTTTATCAGTAACAAGAAACTTTATTAATGATATGAAACTATGTAAAACTTTAGGTACAAAGGGGGGAGGTAAAATGTCTTAACTCCCCACCAACAAAATACATTGGAAGAAAGTCAAAAGTTAAACCAAAATATAGATTCCCTATTCACCCCTTGCTTGGCTAACCCATCAACAACTGAGTTAGCAGTCCTCTTCACCCAGCTGTAATGCAACACAATATCCCTACTTAGCCATTTGAATTTTTTCTTCTCGTTGTTATAACACCACAAGAAACATGACTGTTACCTCTCTTTGGGTGGGAAGATCAACAAATACCTTAGCGGATGCGTTAGCTAAGCAAGGGGCTTTAAGGGAAAGTTTATTTTGGGCTGCTCTGTAATTCTATTTCTGGTTATTTCTGTTTTTAAATTGATGTAATACTTGCTACAAGAGGTAACAACTCGTGCCTCCTCTTGGGTCTCCTGTATTGCCTCATATTTCTGGTTTAATAAATTATATTCATTCATCAAAAAAACAAACATGGACTTGTTTGGGCTTGCCTCAAGGGGCTTAGTTAAGGATACAGGGGCATATTCCCTAGCCCAGCCATCATGCTTACAAAAGCACAAAATTGAACTGAGGTGCACAACTTTTCAAAGAGGTTGCGCATGGGCTAGGCAATGGCTGTTAAATCATTGTTCCCTCTCTCCTAGCTATGATTAAGGGGTAAGCATTTGGTTTTTTTGGTTTAAAACTGAACCAAAAAAAACGAAATTTTAAAAACCGATTTAACTATATGAAAGACCGAATCAAAACTGAAATATGTAAAAACCAAATAAACCGAACCAATTTTTTTTCGGTTATTTTGGATATTTCGGTTAAAATCGAAATTATTTAACTTGAAAATGCAACACAGCGTAGGAAGATGCAGGTGGCCAATGACACTCGGCAACGAGTCAACGAGTCAATGTCGTTCATGTTCAGAGCCTAGAGCGCAGAAAGAAGATGATCGGAGCCTAGAGGAACTAAACTAAGGAAGATGCAGCAGCAATGACAGTCGGCAGTCGCGGCACTCGGCAATGAGTCAACGGCGTTCATGACTTCGTGTTCGGTGTTCTTGCTGGTGCTAGGTGAGTCGGTGACGTCCGGTAGCCGCGACAGTCGAAGAGACTAACTAAATTGACATCCGGCAGCCACGGCAATCAAAGAGACAAACTAGGGAAGATGCAGCCCAGCGGCGGCAATCAGAAGTCGCGACACTCGGCAACGATTCAACGTCGTTCGTGACTTCGTGTTCGGTGTCCCTGTTGGTGTTGGGTGAGCCGGTGACATCCGGCAGCCGCGGTAGTCGAAGAGACGAAACTCTCAACTCTAGTCTAGAACTGGAAGAGTGGAAGAGGAAGACGAGAGTCCCAAGACAGCAAGACGCTTAGAGTCTTTAGTCTCTGACTCTTAGACGCCCGCACATCAACTTTTCACTTTTTTTCACTTTCTTGTGTAAGACGTTTTGCAGCTTAACTTTGTCATGATTCTTAATTTATTAAATATCAATATAAAATTAAATTATAAATTATAATATTAAACCGGTTTTTTCAATTAACCGATTTATGAAGTTTGATAACCGAAACCGAAAACCAAAATTCAAAAAAACCGAAAAAGAAAACCAAACCCAACCGAAAAACCAAAATTTCGGTTCAGTTTTTCGATTTTAATCAAATTATGCTCACCCCTAGCTATGATCACAAGCACCTTGTGCTTCTCCTTGCTACACCTCCCTCCCTCCCTCATATCTTATAAGGCTATTTCAAATTTCCTTATGCTACTAGAGGTTGCACCCATTATTAATTTCTCCCCTACATAAACATGTTCCAAATTTAACTTTTTCACTATCTTAAACCCACCAATCTCCTCCCTAAAACAAACCATCCAAAATTAATTTTCAACCATTCACTAGCCTATTTCTCTTCGATTACATATCTACGTTCTAGGACTTCATCCTCTTTGTCATGCATTAGTTTTACATGCATTTTCCAATTTTTTTTTTTTGAAATGTCAATAGAAAATTTTCATTAAACTGAAAAAGAGGTACAGTACGAGAACTTTGTTTGTCAAGTTGACAAACCAAGCAAAGGTACATCACTCAAACTGAAAATAAACCTTCATGCATTTTCCAATGTTACTAGAGATATTGAACATTGCCCAAAGATAAATTAACAAAAGAGCTAGGCAATGACTTCTGTAACCTTTACCAATATACTCGGATGAATAGTTGCATAAGCTTAGACCAAACCATATACTAACAATGATGATGGGTTTCCATCTTAAAAAATAAAGAAGCAAATAATAGATCATTTAGAGACATTATTTGTACCTCAAAATCATGGGATATCCTATTCTCAGATCCATTTGATATTGCTCCTGAGTTCTCATCATGACCTTCACATGCCTGCACAATCTGCAATGATTCATGTAGCAACTGAGGAGTACAGTTCCATTCATCTTGCTGCCCCACCTCTGCATTCTGCAACTTAACATCTTGTGGTCTATTGTGACAAAGACTTGCAGACAAAGCAGACCTTTCCCTATCAATGCCCACAACTTCTTGCTCTTTTTTCTTTGATTCTAGCAAGGAATAATCTGTCACAAGCTCTGCTGATGAGTTTTCACCATTCTGTGTAGCAGAAACAGGTTCTGTAGGCAAATCAGACTGAAGAAAACCATTTACTTTCTCAGGTATCACACATAGAGATTCATGAAACAGCTTTTCACCATCCTTTTGCTTTCCTTCAGCTGCAACCAGTTTAAGAGGTAATAATGACTTCCTTAGCAAGTTTTCTCCAGCTTGCTCTAATGAGGTGTGTGATGCCAAAACTTTAGAATCTGTATCTTTCCCTGCATCAATCTCAATGTTAGACTTTAAGATAGTTTCTTTTGAGCTGGTACAATGGCTCTGTATTTCTCGAGGCACATCATTAGATTGCTTCAAACATGAATCTACTGAATCAGCAGAATTTGCAGAATCCACATCCACAGGATCGGCCAAATATTCATCAATGCACTCTGAAGGACTGCATGGATGGACTTCCAGGGAGTAGGTACTATCACATTTATTCTGAGTACAGTCAATTGTATCAACCATTGATTGGGTAACAGGTGGTTCAGAAGTATGTGAACCTGCTGCAAGCATCTTCGTTCTATCATCATGCTGAGAAAACTCTATCTTTGATGGGTGAGGATATTGGGGCCTGAAATATAACAATTTTTTTCACATGAGATATGACCAAACCAACTTCAAAACATATGCTTCCAATGATGAGATGCCTCCAAAAAAAAAAAAAAAAAAAAACATTGAATACCTCTTAAGAAAACTAACATCTCGCTGAGTATTGATACGAGGTGAGGTAAACACAGGTGCTGGAGCAGGAAAATTAAGCTCTGAAAATCCTTGTGCAACATGAACAGTCTTGACTGGCTTTATAGGCGACAGATTGCTAAGGTAATTGAAGAAGGGGGAGTCCTATAAGGAAAAGGTCATTGCATCAAAAATAATTCAGAATGTTCTTGACTAAAACAGCTTATTCAAGTATGTGCAGTCAACTTCAAGAGTGTAAAAAAGATGCCTAGCTAATTCAATGTTCAAGATTTTTCAAAGAAGGAGCCTAGCATTCATCTCAAAACTTTAGAAAGAGATACTATTTGGAATGTCTAGCCATTCAGAGGAACTGGACTATGCTTGTGCCACTTCCTGAACAACTCTAAGTCTGTAAACCCTCATTTAATCACCTGAAGTATATGAGCATATGTGCAAATAGAAACAAGACTAAAACCTCTACATGATTAAATGGAAAGGAAACACGTAGAAATTGGAAAACATCTTCATGCAAAATCAAAAGCAGCAATCTATCACTTGCAACCAAAATCATTTAGTATGAACTCGATCTCACCACTACCCAGTACCCACCTATGAACTTCACCTTTAAAATCAGTAAAACCGTCATCCATATCCACTTCACTCACCAACCCCAGCCCCAAAAAAGGGAGCAGTAGATCCAACAATCACGAGTCACAAGGATCAGAACCCTAGACACCATATCCCAACAAAAAGGTCCATAACAAAAGCGTAAACTGAGTGCACTAGAGAAGTTCAGAACATGGTCAAGCAACCAACACTACGCCCATTCCCCATTAAACAACAACCAGGTCAAATAAAATAAGAAGAAGAAAAATGAAAATAGTCACCATCAAATGCAGGACCCGATCTACTTCATATGCACCCAGACTACATAATTACTACAGACTAATCCAAAACATCAATGGGCAAAAAGAAGGAAGAAAAAAAAAAAAAAAAACTAAAATGTAGAACTAAAAGAACTTAAGTGCGGAGGGGGAAAATAAAGGAATACTTGAACGGCGGGAGAGGATGAAGTAGTGACGATCCGATTGCTTTCAGGCGAATCCATAATTCGAAACCCTAGCCTTACCCTTGGGACTCTCTATCTGCATCTTTCTCTCTCTTCTCGCCTGAAACCGACTGAAGTCGCTGAGAAAAGGGGCGTCTTTTTTCCTTTTGTTCTCAAGATAGATAAGAAGAATGGAGAGAGAGAGAGAGAGAGAAGCGCCAACTCTTAAATCCGGGCGGGAGTTTGTTTAGACCGTCATATACGAAGTATATACGTATACGGCGTATATCGTAGAATGAACGAAAAGCACGTGTTTTGCATCATCCTAGGTTTCTAACTAATTAGGCGGGCCCAAGTGCCCAACGACCTCGCGGGTGATGTCTTAAACGATAAACCATTTGTGGATGAGTGCGCTCCCGCTCCAGATTGGAATTGATATACAACCAAACAGGTCAGTAAAGCGGGAAAATCAATTTGAAGTCTAGAACTACAACCCATAAAGTAGCCAATTGAGAAGGAATGAGGGAGGGAGACCGGATATGCTCCTCACACGCATATCCTATCATGCATTGGTAATATCTCCCGTATTTATTAATTATTATTCACAAAAGATGTTCATAATGCACGGTGGATATGCATGTGAGGCGCCCATTTGTGAGGAACAGATCCCGTCTCAGAGTGAGAGGTTAGGGGTGGCTCAGTTTGTATGTAACTCCATCTTTACACGTGATTCAATTAAAGTGGAAACAAATTTTGCATTGTTATCTAAGTTGGAGCCTCTCAAAAGATAAGATCATTTCAGTTACGAGCAATTCTCCAAAACTGTGAAGATTAATATTTTATCCTTAGAAATAGAATGTTTAATACTTTTATAAATATTAAAAATAGTATTTTATTAATAAACAAACATTATGATTTGTTGAAATAAATAATTATTTATTATTTAATTAATAATAATATTTATTGTTATTATTAAGTAATAATAAATAAAATTATTATTATTATGATCATCATCATTATTAAACGATATTTTTAATATTATAAAATAATATTTTATATTTAATAATATGATTTACTTCATAGCAATGTTTTTTTGTTATTATTATTAAATTATATTTTTATATTATGAAATAATGTTTTATAATTTATTTAAATAGTTACTATTATTTAATTAATAATAATATTTACTATTAGTGAAAATTATGGTCTACCCCACCTCACAATTTTCTATTTATTTATTTTTATTCTATTTTGCAAAACCCCCCACCTACCCCCTTGAATTGTGTGAGATTCCCCCACCTATTAGTATTGCAAATAATGACAATTTTTTGAGGTGAGGGAATCAATAATTTGCCATTGTTTCTATTATCAAGTAACATTTTTATATTATGATGTAATATTTGATAATATTATTTAAATAAATATTAATATTTATTATTATTAAATATATGATATTAATGAGGGTGTTAACGCCATTTTATCACGTTTGAAATGTGTATGATTCAAGCAAGACATGAGACAAGGTCTTATCATTTCAAACGTCTTTTCTCTTTTTAAATGTTAAAAATAAACATAATCTCAAATGCCCTTACCTTTGAAAAGCAAGAAACGCTCCCCTTTGGCATCATACATTTCCTTCCGGTGATGGTTTAGCAGCACAACCATTTGAATTTTTAAATGGCTTCGCCCATTGTTACATTGTAGAGTAAATGTATGATGATGGATAAGTAAGATATTGAAAGTGCTTTGACCAATCAAATCTCATGAATTTTGATGAATGTCAACTGATTGGTTACCACTTTTACGATATTGGTTAGTTAGTTATTAGTTTTTTTGGGGGAAATTTACAATAAATTTTGATGGTTTTAAAAATGTAATTGGCATTTAATATGACAATGCAACCAAACTGCTCTCTGTATTTTCTCTATGTCTTTATGTAACATTGTTGTATCTGTCTATTTGTTTCACTTTAAGGGGTATTCTTTTTTTGGATTTTGAGAGGGTGGGAAAGTTGGTCAATGGGATTTTGGTTCCCATTGACCAAGAATCACATGTTCATTTTTCAGATTTATATGAGGATCTGGGAAAGTATATTTTCTTGGGTATCACTTACCTGGTCTCTTAGGTGGGTAAATAACTTCCCCACACTTGAATGAGACAAAAAAAACCCATTTTAATAATATATTTTTATGGATAAAACGGGCATTACCTTATTTACCTAGAAAACAAAAGAATATGGGTAAATGCACTTACCCAAATAAGTATTTCACAGAAAAAACTTACCCAGATAATTACATATAGCCGAGTAAGTAACTTACCGAAAAGTGAATGGAGCCTTAAGGAAAAGAATAAGAAAAATAGAGGACAATCAGTGGTGCTGCTTCACCAATGGTTGATGAAGTACACCTCTATGCAACTTTTCCCTGATCCCCTCCTAGGCTCCCCCTCTCTTGTTTTTTATTCCTTTCCACCTTTCTTGACCTTCTTTCCCTTCTCTAATACCTTTATCAGTCTTCTACTTTGACTCTCTCTCTAAATCCATTTTTCATGACCTCATAGGCTCCCTCTCTCCAAACCATATTTTCATTTTTTTTTAGGTTTTTCATTTATTGTAATATCAATGAGGTTTCAAAATAACAAAGTAGAGGAGTTCTAACATGCAACAACTTAATGGTGGACTAGTGGTGATGAACGAGTTGAATGATCCAATGGTCTGACCATTGAGGTTGATTATTTCCTGATTAGGTAAGTGGTTTGTTGAGGTCGACAATTTTGAAGACAAAAGGACCCAATTTCTCTTTTAGGTGACAAATCAAATAGTTCAATTGTCTTTAGGTAAAAAGACAATTTCATTCAACAAAAAACCCATTTGCATCTCCCTTAGAATCACAGGAGAAATAAATTGGGGAGTGAAGCACCAGCACCAGCACCAGGTGAAGGTTCTAATATAAGACAAAGCAAACATGGCTACTTTATGTGCAACTCAATTAGTTGTTGATAAGAGTGACTAGAGGCCCTCAATGGAAAAAACCTCGGGGTGTGGGACCAAATCCTACGGTCGAAGGAGCAACCTACACCGAAGGATAAAATTGACTTTGCACATCTCTTTATTTGTATTAGTGCTATATATTTTAATTTTAATTGCTAAAATAGATAGTCTCTAAGACAATTAAGAATGACCTTGATATGGATGAAGATCTGGGTAGGTGGTTGAAAATTTCAAGATCTAATATCCCACGAAGTGGGGTGGGACACATGTCATCGAACCAGCAAGTGGAAGAAATTTAGAAGGCCAAAACTTCAGGGAATTTATATATATATTAAAATAAAGCGGTCAAAAAAATTTTTCCTTTTTTAAAATTTTTTTTTTTACTCCATGTTATGCACTTTCCCAATAACCTAAATAATATTTTCTCCTAAACCACCTCTCCCACTATCCCCTACTTTATCCAAAATTATCTCTAATTCTTATTTGTCTTATAAATTATCTCTAATTCCTATTTATCTCCAAAGTTATCTCTAATTTAGTAGAGAGTTTCTCTCCTAAATTATCTCTAATTCCTATTTATCCTCTCCCCTACTTTTTATCTATATCTATCTAAAGAAAGTTTAGATTAAAAAAATTAAAAATTATTTAAATATTATAAAAAAATTATATAATAACTTTAAAATATTTATTAAAAACATAAAAATTAATTATATATTTTTACAAAATATATAACGAAATTATGTGCTAACAATTTAAATTATGTTTTTCTGGACTATCATTTGAAATTTTTTCTAAATATTTAATAATATGTAATAGATTTAAATAAATAAAATTCAAATAACAAAAAATTTTATAGATTATTTAAATATTTAAGTAACTAAATATCTATTATAACTAGATTTTAAATAGTTAAAATAACGAAATTATGTAATAAATTTAAAAAATTTCTTCAAACTATAAAAATATTTATAACATAGTATTGAAATTAATAATAATTTAATACATTACAAAATTAATAATGAAATTATGTAAAAATATTATAAATTATGATTTTATGGACAACTAAATTCAATAAATAATTAATATTTTAAAACTTAAATAATTTACATATTATTTAAGTATTTAAATAAATAAATATTTTAAATAACAAATATGTAACAACTAGATGTAAAAACTAGATTTTAAATAGTTAAAATAAAGAAATTATGTAATAAATTTAAAAATTCCTGAAAATTAGAAAATTAATTATAACATAATATTGAAATTAATAATAATTTAATATTTTTACAAAATATTATAAATAACTAATTTCAATTATATCAAGTAATAATTCAAGAAAATAACTTTCAAAAAATAATATTTATTTATAATAATTCTAAGCTCTTAATCTGTATTTATTATATAATTATATATACTAAAATTAATATTTATTGTATTTCAGTAATTATTTATTGTTTTTGTGATAAATGTATTTTCAATGATTATGTATAAATTTATTTTGTTTTGCTATTTAACAGAAAACTTTTAATAATTATTGGAGATTAAACTACTATTATTGAATTTCTTAAATTTAATTTATTATACTTATTGTATTTATTATATTTTTGTTATAACTTATTGACTAATTTTTATTAGATATTAAATTATTATTTGAGATTATACTATTTATTAACTAAGTTAATATATTTTTAGTACTTATTGTATTTTTAATTATCAATACATTTTCAATAATTATGTATTTTCGCTATAAATTTTCAATAATTATTGGAGATTAAGCTATTCTTAATTATTTATCAGAGATGGGACTATTAATTTAGCTGAATTTTTGAGTGTTCGTGACTTGGTTTGATTCGGTCGTAGGCTATTTGGCCAACTAAATTGACTTGGTTAGGTTGGGGAGTTGGTCAGCTAAAACCGATTGACCTTTTGTGAAATCCAACCCACTCAAGTTGTATCAATTTGGGTCGATTTTTGCTTTGGTCAGTCGGTTCAAAAGATTTAAACTTACAAATTTAATTTAATTTAAAAAATTATAGTGCAATTTTTTTAAAATAAATTTAAAAATTAGATTTATGATATAAAACATTTTGGAATAAAAAATATGGGAAATTTTCCACTTTTCCATATTAAAAATTATATTTAAAATATAAAATGTTAATATATATATCAATGGTTAGGTCATTTGATTTTGGTCAATTTATA